GATTTGAATTTTCTAAAAAAAGTCAGTTCTGGATTAAAATAGATAGATATTTTAAAGTATAATCTGTTATCTTGGATTAAAGCAATATCAAGATGTCTTTAATATTAAAAATAGAATAAAAATTAATATAAAAAAAAAAATAATCTTTTTTATTTATTTTTCAGGTTTTTTAATAATGTATATTAAATTTTGTTACTTTTAAGGAAAATATATTACAAATATTATGAGGATAAATAATATTTTACATAAAAATATTTGTTTTTATTTATTTTGATAGTTAAACATTAAATATTTGAAATTTTACATTTATTTATTTATATTATTTCTTGTTTGAATAATTTATTAATAAGTGTTTAAATAGGTGATTATATTCTTTATTAAATTTATTTATTTATTTAGTCTTATAAATAATTTAAGACTATCCAAGAGATTTTGAATAATATTGCTTTATGAGAGATAGCTTTGTATTTGATAATAAATTAAAAATAATCGATTAAAGATGCTGCGTTTGTGGTAGGGAAGATCATTTGTAAAATCGTTGTAATCTAGTACATTACGTCCCTGATCAAGAGAGAGTTATTTTGAAAGAAAATTTCTCGACTAAGCAATTAAGAGTAGCAAAGGTTAGGTAGAAAGATGAAAAATTCAATTCCTTAAAGAATATTAATCTTGTAATAGAATAGCAAGATGCTTACTTTAGTAGTGAATAAAATCAATAATTTGTATAAATTAACTACTAATTCTTATTTGATGAACCTAGTCTAACAGAAGAAAATGTCAATATGTCGCTAACTTAGAACACTAGTAATTTAGGTGGTCAAAATCAGATTAATCAAAATACAAATGGTTATAATAATAACTATAATAATAATTATATGTATAGTGTTAGAGAGAAGTAAGCAACTATTTTACCAAATATATAAAAACACGTATCTAATATTTATACCTCAGGTGGTTCAGCTTTAGGAGATTATAATCATAGAAACGATATAAGTAGGAATGATGCTTCTGATGTAGAAAGTCCTCGAAGCAATGATAAAGGATAATTTACATACATCTAGCAATAAACTCCTAATATTTTTTCTACTTAAAATACCAATAGTAATCTTTACAATAATCTTTAGAATACTAAAATTCCTTAGAATAGATTTGGATAGGCTAGTGGATATTAGCCCAATAATAATTTGTTGAGTGTGAATGCATAAGGATTGTAAGGTTTAAAAAAGAAACCAGCCTGAAAAAATACAC